CCATACATTTTTTTTTTTTTTTTTTTGTGGCAAAAGTCAATATGCAAGACTAAACGGATACCGATAAATTGGATGTTGAACAGCAGGTCTGAGTCCCATCAACAGAAAGCAATATCCCCATTCTGCACACTGTGCCTTTTGAATTCTCCTGTGGATATGTGTTTAGCAGCTCTGCCATGGTAAAGCTCGAAATTGTTTACATGGATTGGCAGGGCTATAATATGGCTATGCAGCTGGATGAACCATCGGTGTTGGATATAAATACACGCTGCTCTTGCATACGTGTACACTGCCATATTAAATCATATCTAGTGCTGAACCTGAGTTTGGAATCAATGCCCTGGCGGCAATGAGAGTGATTTAGTGTGCACTTCTGAAACATCAGTGGCTCATATTCTTTTTGTCCTCTTGGAATGTAGCCTACATCTCCTGTCACTCAGAAACAGAGGTATGAAAGAACTGTTATCCATGCTAGGAATATCAAATCAGTGTTGATCATGTCAACGAAATTACTGATTAAAATATCTGTTAACAAAAGCCCCATTTAAAACTGTGTTTTCTGTGATTTGATCACTTGGCCAGGGCCGTACACAGGGGGGTGGCCCGGTGGCTAGAGCCACTGCCCCTTTGCCCTCATCGGCTGATTTGCCCCTCTCACCAATCCCCCCAACACCCAGCTCAAGCTGTCTCTTACCGCTCCGCTAAAGATCCGCCGATTTCGCTAATCCGCTCCGTGTTTTCCCGCTCCGCGGCATCACTCACGATCTGTGTGCCCGCTCTCTGGAGTGGAGACCACAGTTCCCAATGTCTTTGCATTAACAGGTGGATGCATTACAATCCACATTAGCCTACAGTCAGTGGATGATTCACTGAATTAGTCATTTGGTAGTTTGTTTTTGTATTTCTGTCGCTAATGATTTGCTCTCAGTCTTCTAAAATAACAACAAAATATCCACGTTTTAAAAATTAGAATGTCTAATCAAATGATTGTTCCCGATCAGATCTAATTTAAATAACACAAAATTCGCTGTTGTTGGCACACTTTGTAGACAAAAAAAATGCCTTCACAAAAAAGAAGACAGAGACAGAGAGAGAAAGAGCGAAGGGAGGCTGCTAAAGGCAGTTCAACATTGCAAACATGGATTCAAAGCTCCAGCAAGTCAGCAGGTAAATCATCATATAGAATATTTAGCAGTTTGTCACACTTTAATTCTTGTAATTAAGTATATTTCCCATTATAATCACTTGTCTTGATACTAGTAATCTATAACACATCATATTATATTAAAACCTAGGCCTATAAATAGTTAAACAATCATATAGATTAATAAATGACTAAATTTAAAAGTAAAAGTAAATGTAATAAATGCTCTAAATTAGTTGTTTATTAGTATATAATATAGATTTATGCTGTAACATATTAAATTAAATGTCTAATACTTATAGGGGAGAGTGGGGTTTAGCCAATTTTTACTTATGTGGTCCTCAAGATAAGTTAAAATGATGCAGAAGTATTTAGGCTAATATTTAGCATATTTTTAGACCTGGATAAATTTGCTTTGATGTAACAACCATATTATCTGTTATGTAAAATTTGACTTTAACAAGCCAAAAACTGTTTTTAAAGTAAATGGGTGCCTTCCACTCCTCCTGTGTGTTTCTCCTTTTCACAGTCTGGCAGAAATGATGGGTGGTTCCAAAATACATGGTCACATGACAGTAAAAGCGTACAGTTGCCAAGATACAGGAGATGGGAAATCTTACCCACTGGCTCAACTTACCCCACTCTCCCCTACTTTCATTGAAGATGAGGCAGAAGCAAGCTCAGAGAGTGAGGGAGAGAACACTTTTATCAAAACATCTACAATAAAGTCTGAAATTATTACAGAGTGTGCTGTCTTCTCTTTTAATTGTATATTTGTAACAACTGGATATTTGTATTAACAAGCACCCACCCCCCTAGTGCCCCTTTTTTGGTTTTGGGCCACTGCCCCTCAAAATGTCTGTGCACGGCCCTGCACTTGACCATATTTAAAGCCACATGTAATGCAATACTCTTAACATTCTCTAAAGCAGTTAAGAACTATTTTTCATTTTAGTGAATTGGTGGTGAATTTTGGTGACGTTTATGTATGACCTTCTTCCTCATTCACGGTTGGGTTTATGGGTAGGCCTTTCAAGCTTATACTTATTTGTAAAAATCGAGAAAATAAAAGCTTTTGCAAGCAAATGCAAGTTTTTTTTTTCTTAGGGGCTCCGTAGTTTTCTCATGAGATTGGGTTGTATAAGTTATAAACAATTTCTAAAGCATGAAGAATTCACAACACAGTAACTTCTCTAAAGTAGCTAATAATCCAGTATGCTCATTATTAGATATTATTTCAGGAGCTCAGATTTTCACACCAAGGACATCTTTTACATGCTTGATACTCATTTAAATTAATACATGTTTATTCCCTTTTTTTGAAATGTTTAAAAAGTTCACATTTATTTTCAATTTAGTCTGTCATATTATGACACATTTTCATCATTTTGCACATTATTTTATGTTATATATTCGTTTCTGATTAAAATCCATGGCTTTTAAAATGGATTAAAATTAAAAAATAATAATATATTAATAAAATAAAAAATATATTAACTGAATTATATCATATTACTGTCACGGGTGTTGCAGAAATACAGATGAAGACAGATGAATAAAGTTCCAAACAAAGTTTAATAGTATGATCCAACAAGGAAGGCAGGCGTTAAATACACATAAACATGATTCACGACCGGACAAAACTCAAATGAAACACAAGGACTTAAATACATGGAACAAACAAAGGGAACTAATAGGAAACAGCTGAAAGTAATGACTAATCAAATCAGTAACCAAGGTAATTAACAACGAAAGTGACAGGCAGGGAGAAAGCAAAGACAGAAATCAAACTTAAACTGAACATAACTATGACAACTACCTTACATTATAAATTATATTATATTACTAATATTAATTTGTAATAGAATATTGAACACATTTACAGGCCATTCTCTCTCTCTCTCTCTAAAAATGTGAAAAAATTTGCAACCCCATGGGTTTGATTTTTCCCTTTATGCTTTCTGTGACTAGGACTGAGCTGTCGACTCAGCAGTTAAATGCATTCATTCAGTTCTTTGCATCATACTCTGTTTTCACAGATTAAAAAAAAACAAGACTTTCTTATGGCCATCTAAAGCCACACAAACAGGTGATGAAATTGAATGTGAACTCAAGGCCATTTGCAGATTATAGCTACATTTTATACACTAGCAGTTCCTCAGAAATATTCACAGCCCTCGGTGCTCAGTGTGGTAATACTCTAAAAGAAAAATCGCCACGGCATTAAAAGGTACCACATCCCGCGCACAGATGGAGTGTGCCACCTCTTCCCATTCCTTTTAGTGGGAGATGTACCGCCAGCATAGTAAAATGAAATGGCCTTATTTGCATTGAGCTGGAGGAGAATAGCTTTTAAAGTGGGTTAGGGTGAAGGGGAGCAGAAAATACTTCAGAACCGGTTTGAGGAAGAAAAAGAGAGAGACAGAGAGAGGTAAGAGGCTTAGCGTGCTTCAGGGCTTCGGTGTTTGGAGAACCAGACTGTGAAAGGAAGGGAAATTAGGCGTCCCGCACTTTTCCCTCTTTCTCCTTTAGCTAATGAGGCCAGTAGTTCCTAGCTGTCAGAGTCATACTGATGTCCAATGAGGGGGCCAGATGTTTTCGGTTTCGCAGTGCGGATCAATAAAGCTACCTGTGTACAGGGGTTAAATACATTGATCATAAAGAGAGACAGCCTTGTGATCTAAAGCTCATGCAGGAAAGCTTCATGGCCTTCAACTGGGCTGCTTGTAAGAAAGGATGGAACGGGCCCCACCATCCTCAGGCAGGCATTGGCTTTGGATGTTTGATACTCTTAGGCCCAGCCGAGGAGGAACTGAGAAGAAATGAAAGCAGAATCAACTACTTATGAAAGAATTCACAAGCTCTTGCACCCTGCTCACAGTGTTGAAAGCAAAGGAGGTGTTATCACTGCAGCGCAACATCTGGGGTTTTCACATCTCAAGGGAAGTTGGGCATGAAACACATTCTCTGCAGAAAGAAAGTAGCTGGAAGATTCTTGGACTGCTCTCGAAAAATGAAAAAGACTGGAGAAATATTAGAAACAGGAACTGTGGTGCAATACCACAGTCTTACAATGGCACGGGATTGGGAACGATAGCCTGAAACGATAAATGGCATTCATGGGATCCGACCACTGTACTGGAAAAGTTTACAGTCGAAACACTTTCAAATTTAAATACAAAACGCTTCTGCAGTAAATGTGACAGCAGCATAAATGTTTGAATAAGTGCTGCATATCAATGTGGTATGAGAAGCAAAAAGCTTTGTTCGGTGGGCTGAGAAGAATCCTCGTCCTTTATTAAACATCTAAGTTCAGGTCAGCTTCATTACCATAATACAGAGCTTTTATACCATGAAACAAACATCCTCCCTCAAAAAGACAGCTTGGTCGACAGATTGAGAATATTGTGCATAGTGTGCAAGTTTTGTTTGTGTACGACGGCTGGATTTAAAAAAGGTGAAACGTAAAGAATACACCACACAATGAAAATATGGATCTCTTCCCATTAAAAAGTAGCCGGAAAAGGGTAGGTAATTTGTGAAATAAATCAACCTAAGCTCATTGGAAAAACATGCCTATACCTGCAACTTTGAAAAACTATAAAAAACTTAACCACCAATACAATTCACTGCAGTTTCCAGCTGAAACACCAACAAGTTTTATACTTTTTTCCCCACAATAAATTATGCTAAAAAGGTAGATTTATAGATTAATAAAGGCATATTCTTGCATGGTTTTCTTGCACAATACCATGTTGTGATGCTAAAACTGTTTTAACATTTATAAACTAATAAATTTTGATGTTTGCATCACATAAACAACTGCATACATACTGCTTTTCTGATGTGGTAAACTTGCTTGGTAGCCCACCTGGTACAGTATGGCACATGTGATGCGAAACGCTTGGGTATAAGTCTGGAAAACACAAGTCAAAAAAATGTATATCTCATGTTTGCTTATCTCATGTTAACACTATTGGTTTAGGGTAAGGTTTAGTGCAGGTGTTATGTCATTTTTAAATGTGATACATTATTAACCTTTTTGCGCCACTCACCGGACATTTAATTTCCAAACTACCATGATATTTACAGCAACCAGCATAAAATGTTGCCAGATTCACATTAATCTGTTTTGGATAAAACTTCAGATAAAAAACTGCTTTTAGCTAAATTTACTGGACATTTTAAAAGTGTTGCGAAACGTGCAAGAAGCAACGTAATCTGTTTGCAGAAATGTCGTTGCAGGCACGTTTTTCCAATAAGCTTGGGTTGAAATAGAAAACAGAATAAAAAAGCAATAGTGGTTCTTCTGCCATTGCAAAATGTCAATATGTGCTGATGTGCATGTTTTGGTTTGAATGTAATGAAGGGGCAGAGGCTTGTTTATGTGACCGTAGCATGAAAAAAAAAAATGAGGGGAGGAGAGAGACACTCATGTGCTCCAGGAGTGGTTCATCATCCTCTCTGAATGGGTTTCTGCTGACACAAATCAGTTTTAAGCAAATGTCTCTCTGTCATAATCACAGCTTTTTATGATCATTTTGCCCTTCCTGCCCTTTCACAGTGTCAGAGAGTAATGAGTGATTTTATAGAGCTGAGAAGAGAGTGAGAAAATATAGATAGATCGTGTGTATGTATGAGAGAGAATCAAACCTCCTCCCTTTGATCAACGCAAAAGAAACACACCACCAAGTTTGGGAACCTGATGTGCATCCGATCCAACCCATCAAACATCCATAACATGATCCTGCTTTTGTGTTGATCTTCTTTTTCTTCTGCATTGTTTAAAATATCATTTGATTAGTGCTGACATGATGAAATCATTTAAAGCTGAATGATGAAAACATTCAGCATAGTATGTAAATATTAAACAACCTAAACACACACAAGACAAGACCTAAAGACACAAGACTAAACAGTATTCAGATGTACTCAAGATTAAATAAATAAAATCAGACACAAACTGTCTAACTTAATTCTTACATGTTTATATAGGCAAAGATGTCTAAATTGTATCTTTATGTTTATACTAAATTATTAAAGACAAACAGAACCCATAAAGATTATAATTAATTTAGTTTTAATAATTTTCTAAATAATTTAGATAATTTATTTAGAGTTGTCTATGCATTATTTTTACAGTTTATTATATTGACCAAAAAAAAAAAAAAATCCATTATTCAACAACTATTCAAATTTTCATCCAACAATAATGACATAAATTTTCTAATATGTGAGGACTTTTGCCAACAATAGAAAAATGTATTTTAGCAAAAATTAATAAATAGAACAATTATGACAAACTAAGATGGAATACATACAATTTCGTTATTCAATAGCTATTCAAATGTGCTTCCATAACAATATTTACATAAATGATCAAATTTATGTAATTATCTACATTTACGCAATTATCTGCACTGTATGTATACATAAGAATATATAGAATACGTTTGTATACAACCAGATAGCTGTGTGCAAATGAACTTTTCTCCTACCGCCTAGTAGGGAGGTAATGTTGCAGTGCAAATAGTCCAATCCTGTTCTTTAGTTGACTCAACACTGCAAAAGCTAGCCAACACTCACCAGCAATCCTCACACACGTGTGTCAGCGCTACCGGACTTACTTCCGGTTCAACATGGCGGCATCCATGGCATGTCAGGCGGCTGTGAGAGGACTCCGAGCGGCGAGCACTAAACAACTGCTTGTGAGCCAAAACCAGGTAACAGATCGCGGATCTGTACGTTTCTCCTCCAGTGCGTGATGTGACCAGCAGAAGAACGTGGTATTGCGTGCCGCAGTTGCTGTCTGTCTGTTTACAGCGCCTGATAATGATGAATTATTCTGCACATGACAGTGAATATATGTACAAATACTCATTTAACAAGCGATAAGAACAAATGCTTTAATAGAATGACACACAGACGGTCATACAGCTCAGTGCTGCTTTGGAGAATTGTTCAGTTTGTCTTATTACTTAACTTGAACCATAAACAATGTGTTTGATAACTGACGTCAGCATATAAATATGTTTATAAAACACAATGCATGATCTGATTATTTTGAACTTTTTCAATTAATTTTGACAAATTTTCTATTCTAAAGACTTTGTTCTGAATATTAGAAATTCTACTCTTAAATACATTTTTCCTTTTTAGGAAGGTTCTGTCCTAAAGTTAATCATCTAAAGATTGTGTTCTAAAGATTCTAACCAAAAAGAAGAGTCATAAGATAATGATACTGTACATCAGCTTGTATATTCTGCTATATATCATTTCTGGAATACTGATTTCTGAAGTTGATACTTTTTAATAACATTAAATGTTTTGGGGGGCTTTTTTGCTCTTTCATAAGGTTTCACTAGAAATGATTGTTTTACCTTCAGGTTTGTCCTCTATTTATTCAGTCAGTGAGCAATAGGCCAGAATCACGTCCATCTGTATCAGCCTTTGACCCGTCAGTGATGAAACTTTTTCTGCTGAGCTGGCCAATAGCAATGTGCTGTCAGTCGACGGCAAAGGTTTAAAGGTCATTTTTAATATTTATCTTATGTATATACACAGATTTCCCTGCTGTCATCATTTTTGTGGTTTCTGCAGTATACGTAATTTTGGCCGATTGTCTTGTGGTCCTCTTTTGGTCTTGCAACATGAAGAGTTTTTTAATGTTTCCTTATTTTGGGTGTCATTTGACTTGTGTACTGAACGATTCCTGTGCACAAACAGACCGTAAACCAGGACAACACGACAAAGTAGATCAGCTGTGCAGTTTCAATGGAAATTAATTCAGTCATATGGAAAGTCAGAGGCTATATTTTGACATTATAGAACAAAACTTTTCAAAGAACAGAAAAGTTTCAAGTAGGTCATTGAATAGATCTGAGATGCGCCTTCCATTCTGTTTTAATCCTGACTGATATCCCTAAATAGTTCAGGGGCTGTTGGCACATAAAACAAATGTGTTGGTTGTCAGAGGACAGAGGCTTGCCCTCTTTTAAGGAACAGTTCACCCAAAAGTTAAAATTTGCTGAAAACCTGCCAACCTTCAGTCTATTCAAAATGCAGATGAGTTTGTTTCCTCATCAAAGACATTTTGAAAACATCACATCTGGATATGGATAATTGTGGCGTTTTTATCAGCTTTTTGAACTCGCATTCTGACGGCACCCATTCACTGCAGAGGATCCATTGGTGAGCAAGTGATGTAATGCTAAATTTCTACAAGTCTTCTTTAACAAAGAAACAAACTCCTCTATATCTTGGATGAACTGAGGGCCTTTTTTTGGGGTGAACTATTTCTTTAAGAATGGTTGTTTTTGTCCCAAAACTGCACTGGAATCAGTGGAATAACCAAAGCATAAGGCATGCATAAATATATTTTACTTGTAAAGAGCTGTTTTATAGGGCCCTAGAAAGGGTTTAGTTTATCCGAACCTTCATAAATTATCAGGTGTGTTGTAATGCGTTCACACTAAAATATCACCCATCTTCAGGCATCTGATAACAACAGCAGCTGTAATTTAATACCAAAATTCTGTTTACACATTATTGGCTTCACAATAAACCCCTTTGAACACTACAGATGTCATGTCTGCTTCCTTCAGACATCAATACTGTCTTAAAACAATTTTATTCTGAAATTACTTCACACACAAAGGCACAGCATCTCATAAATCTTTACGTCGCATTTGTACACAGAACTTGTAAAGGACGTTAAACATTGGACGTTCTGACTAGAAAAAGCATCTTTCCAGTGACTTTAGTACAGACAGTCAGTTGAAGCACTGACTGACCTGATTTTGTGACTTCAGTCGATTTATTGATTCAACTCCCAGAATGCAGCATTGATGTCATCATGAAAGTTTGCTTTTCAGTTTAAATGCATTTTTAATTAAGTTAATAAATCATTAAATACACTCAGTTTCTAATATCCGTTACTTTTTTGACCTTAGTATTATTCATTTTGTCCCTGAGCTGTAGTTTCAAAGTTATATAGAGGTTCTGTGCTGGAAAATGACATTGGATCAACACCAATTTAGTGTAAAGGCATCACTTCATTACTTTGTGCAGTCCACTTTACTGCCATAAGATGTGGTTTAGTAGTGCATGCAGAGTGCTTAGATGGCATATATTTTCATTTCTGTTCGTATAATGAGATGCAACCCGCTGCAACAGGGCACAAGCTTCATCCATCTGAGAGAGGGCCTGCTCTAATGAGAAAGTACATAGTGTCAAGTGCAGTTATATTATTTATATTAAAATGACTTATTTAAGTCTTGTTTGGTATCGGGGAGAAGTGACATCTTTATGGTAATAGATCTTTAATGGATAGGTTTATCTAAGCTATTTGTAAAGATGATAAGGACCTCCAGATTGTATGTGTGAAGGTCAGAAGTAATTCAGAAAAGCATATTTTTTAAAGCACTCATGTCGAGACACTAGTGAGATGCAGATTGGGGCAGCTTTTTCCATTTTTCTCTGAGTTTGGACTTCTCATGTTTGGATCAAATCCATGTTTCACCATCTCCTTAGGAGTCTGGCTGCCAGCCAGTTCTTGACAACGATCAATGAGCTGTTTTTTATTAATCAGTGACTGCATACTTTGACGTTTGCACTAGTGCTGGGTAAAAAAAAATCAATTTTCCGATTAATCGTGATCTTCACTTTAACGATCACAAAATCAATTGCTGAAATCCCAGGATCAATCTTTTACTCTATGCCAGTCTTAACACTTTTCACCGTCAGCGAATATACAGTACAGTTTGAAGTCGAATTTGAATGTGATTAGAAAAAAATGAATGTGTGCTGCGAAATAATTACAAGAAAATATGTCATTCATATGTCAAAGACTTACAAACTCAGGACATAAGCCTACTTTGAATGAGTCTGCTAAATCCTTTACTTAATTAATGAACTTACTGAATCTGTCAAGCGTAAGACCCATTTATACCTTTTTTGTACTCTTTCACTGAAGTATATTTAATAATCTAACAGTGTTAATTACTAATTATTAGTTTAATTAAGCAAAAGGTCTAAAAGTGTAATATGTTTTGTGAATCAGACTGGTTGAGCTCCATATGTTTTATTCACTAAAAAGAGCCAGTTAATAAGAGTAATTTGTTCATGAATCAGATTATACTATAGTAATATTTTGCTATATAATATTACAAATAATAATAATTTAATACTATGCAATAAATGCAATTACTTTTTCACACTTTAAAGGTTCCCTGTATAATTAACCTCAATACCTTAGAGAGAATTTCTCCCGTTGGTAAGCAAAATAAACATTGTGACTGAAATAGACCCATATTAATCAGAATCGATTTAATCAATCGGAATTGAATTGAGAGCTAGTGAATCAGAATTGGATTGAATTGGGAAATTTGTATAGATACCCAGCCCTTAGTTTGCTTGAGTCGTCTCACAGAACTGCACACTCTTTTTTTTTTTTTTTACAGAATCTATTTTTTTTTTTGGACTTTTACCACAGAGACAAGAGGCAGTGATTAGCCAGCTGCCAGTCCGCTGTAGTGAAGCTCAGGAGCTGTGACTGGCAGGTAGGTATCACGGCAATTCACTCCGATCTTTTATGACAGCTCGAAAATTAGAGATGGCTTGTCAGTGACAATGGCAAAAAAAAGAGAGATGGATTTAAGACAGGCGATGACCGATAACACCAACGCCGCCTCAGAAATTCCTGTCTGGACCTAGAGATAATCCCAGAGCTGTTTTCTCCAGCACAGCCCTCACCGCACCAAGGCCGCATTTCTCCAAACTTAAAGGAACATTTGCCGCTGCGTTCCTTCTTTAGGGCGGGGAAAAATCTTTACGCAAAGATTGAAGACGTCAAAGCTAATTCGCCTCACAGTGCTGCAGCAGCTTGAAAAGCTCGACTGGAGTGTCGAAACAGGACCAGGGGAGTCTGCTGGAAGAGGCTGCTTGTTGAATATTTTAAACGAGGGGTGGGAGGGTGCGACTCCTTTGGTGCAAGAACTTCAAACAGCAGGCGTCTCTCCCATCTGTCCACAGTGAGAACGCATTTACATTTCCTGGCCGCCAGGGATACAGTAGAGCAAGTTTGCTGTAACCGGATTTAAATATCATTTCGCCAAGGTTAATAGCCATTTCTGTTGCTCATGAGGGCTGTTTAGGCTTTTTCAATAATTTAGGAAGGCGGCGATCATTTAGAGTTCTGTCGGCAGCCTTTTGAAGGAGAGGTGCCTCTTTTGAACTCTCCTTTGGGACTCGTATTCCGGTCCATTTGGGATAATTCTTCTTTAATGATGATTATGATGAGGTGGTATTTAGTGTTACAGAAAATTAAAAGTTGTTATACAATAACTGCTGTGCCAATGACTTTTGTCTGTCTAGCTTGATAGTTATTCAGTTGGTTTGTGTTCCCAAGGATGTCCAAAGGCTCATTTTTAAAAGATGAAGAGCATTTTAAACGTTTTATTAAAGTTCACTAAATATTCAAATTCTGTCATTAATACTCAACCTCATGTTGTTACAAACTTGTATCACTTTGTTCTTCCATTAAACACAAAAGGAGAAATTCTTCAACTCTGCT